AGGTCCCTCCCAACCCAACCCAACCCAACCCACTCCAGGATCCTGTCAGGATCTCCAGGATCCTGTCAGGATATCAGGTGTGGAGCAGGAGCCTCCCAGCCCTGGCTGCCAGTCACAGGTGAGGTGCTGGCCAAGGTGTGGCAGCAGCTAAAGACAAAACCCCCTGAGCATCCTCCTGCTCCTTAACAGCAGCACAGGCACAGGGAGGGACACAGGGTCCATGTGACAGCTGGACTGTCACAGCCATCTCCTGGATCCCTGCAGCTCTGGATCCCTGCAGCTCTGCCCAGGGAAGTGCTGCAACCAGCAGCCCTGGCAGTGGTCACAGAACGTGTGCACGTGGTTCAGTGCTGGGCTGAAAGGCTGGACCTTTCCAGGCTGAACAATTCCCTGATTCTCTGTCAGTGACAGGCACAGTCCCCGTGGGCAGCGATCTCAGAGCTCTCCCTTCACCCAGCTCTGGGTGTGCCTGATGTGCCAATCCCAGCCCCAGGCACTTCCACAGCCCTTGATGGGCCAAGGAGGGGCTCAGCCAGCCCTGGGCTGTGGGGCAGCTGCTCCAGCAAGGGCCAGGCTGGATGGACATGGACACACAAACCCCATCGTGGGCCTGCACTGCTCAGAAGGGAGGTTTGGAGTGCCCAGCCCTGGAGGGGGATCTTCCCCAAGGAATTCCTGGATGGGGCACTCAGAGCTCTGGGCTGGGGACAAGGTGGGGATCAGGCACAGGACTCCAACCTGAATGATCCTGGGATTCTGGGGTGGCAAAGCACCTTCAGCACCAGGAGCTCCAAAACAAGCTCAGCCATGGAACCATGGAAGCTCCTGAGCTGGGAGGAAGCCACAAGGATCACTGATCCAACTCCTGGCCCTGCACAGACACCCCAAAATCCCACCCCGTGCATCCCTGAGAGTGCTGTCCAAACCTCCTGGAGCTCTGGCAGGGTTGGAGCTGTGCCCATTCCCTGGGAGCCTGGGCAGTGCCCAGCACCCTCTGGGGGAATTCAGAGCTGAGCTCCTCTTCAAAACCCCAACAAACCAACTGCTGACTCTACAAAGTGTTGAAAAATAGGAAGAAAGCAATGGGAGGTTATCAAAGCCCTGAGTAAACTCCCACCAGGACAACTTCCAGGTGCAAAGTCTGTGCCAACTTACTGACAGGCTACTCTGAGCCAGGACTCCTCCAATCCGTGCATGGTTACCTGTGCAAGATATTCAGGAGGAGCTTTTCTTTCAAAAACTCCTGGCAGACAATGGAAAGGCTTGGAAAAAACATTGGTTTTGTAAAAGATGCTGCCTTCAGCTTTCCCTTTGTTTCGTTGCATCATGCACCAAAGAGCATCACTTCTGCAGGCACAAGTTCATGCAGAGAACACCACTTCCACTAAAATAGAACTACTTCAGGTTATGCAACACTCATTAAAATTACAAAACCTCTCAAAAAACCTGAGCAGCATGTTAAGGCACTCTGGAGCTCGGGGTCTGGTGAGTTAGTGGCTGCATCATGCAAACTGGCAGCAAGAAACTCCACAGGAACAGCAACAAACTTCCATGCCTGATGACAAGGCAAAAATGGAGAGCACCTGGGGGCAGGGACAAACTTCCCAGCCCATCTGGGCTCAGTGGGGTTCACAGAGATGCCAACTCTTCCTGAGGAAGCTTTAGAATGAGCACAAGTACGAGAATCTTTGTAATTTCATCTCTATCCACAGTTCAGAATTTGTAAGAACTGGATTCAGATCTGTGGGATGAATTCCAGCTCATTTCCTATGAGCACAGGGACCTTGCTCCCTGGAGAACAGCCAGGGTGCCCAGCCCTGGATGCTGCCCAGCCCATCCAAAGTCCCCACATTTACATCAGTCCCACCATTGATTTGCTAGAGCTGCTTTGGAAAAGGTTTGGATTCCAGACAGAAACACATTTTGTGGATGAAGTGGCTCAGGGAGGCTTAAGCCAAACCAACAGCACGAGGAGAAGGGGAAGGAAGCAGCTGGGGTGGGACAAACCCAAAGGCTGCAAACAAACAGGGACCAGAACATTCCCTGCCCCTGGCATCCTCCATCCCCGAGCAGGGAGCACGGCCACAGCACAGCTCCGGTGACAAGAAGCCAAGGCAGCTCCACACCCACAAAAGCTCAATGACCACACTGAGAAAAGCCAGCCCGACCGGACCAGACCCAAGGCCGAGCTCTGGAACTCGGGGCGAGTTTCCAGCACCCCGACCTTTGGGAAGGAGCCCTGGCAGGCAGGCAAGCGGCCCCTGAGAGCAGCGCCCCCCATGCCACGCTGGGGCTCCAGCGGTGCCACTCACACACCTCGGTCCTGCCGGGGCCGGGCCACCGGGGCTCTGCCCGGGGCCACCGGGGCTCTGCCCGGGGCCACCGCGGCTCTGCCCGGGGCCACCGCGGCTCTGCCCGGGGCCACCGCGGCTGCCACCCCTCGGGCCCTCGTGGGTCTCATGTAGCCCTTGAGCTGCTCTGCCACCTTCACTCTCTCCTTCTTTGCCTCCTTCACTGCTTTCTGCTCTTCTGTTTCTTTAGGTGGGGCTTGAGGCTCCTTTGCTTTGCCTGTGTCCTGAGATTGCACTTCTTTAGTTATTTCTTGAGATTCCTTTCCTTCACTTGTATCCTGAGATTCATTTTCTTTACTTATTTCTTGAGATTCCTTTCCTTCACTTGTGTCCTGAGATTCATTTTCTTTAGTTACTTCTTGAGATTTCTTTTCTTTTTCTGTGTCCTGAGATTCCATTGCTTTAGTTGCTTCTTGAGATTCCTTTTCTTTTTTTGTGTCCTGAGATTCCTTTTCTTTAGCTATTTCTTGAGATTTCTTTTCTTTAGTTGCTTCTTGAGATTCCTTTTCTTTAATTACCTCTTGTGATTTTTCTTTACTTGTGTCCTGAGATTCCTTTTCTTTAGTTACTTCTTGTGATTCCTTTTCTTTACTTGTGTCCTGAGTTTCTCTTTCTTTATCTGTGGCTTGAGAATCCTTTTCTTTGGTTTTGTTTTCAGCTTTATCCACCTCAGACTTTGTCACTGGAGCATCCTTCAGGAGAGCCTGAGCAGCAGGAGCAGGGCTCTCCCCTGCAGGCTGCCAGGACCCTTTTTTGCTCTCTTTGGGCAGTTTTTGGGTACTTTGGGCAGCTGTCCCGTGCACACCAGCAGCCTGAGGCTCAGCCCCTGCAGCTTTGCTGTCCATGGCAGCTGCTGGCACAGCCTGGGCTGGGGAAAAGCTCCCAGTGCCCCTGAGTGCACAGGACACGGTGGCCTCTGCCCCCCCTGTCCCTTCAGCTGCTCTGGGTTTTGGATCTGCAGCCTCTTGAGGAAGCTCTGAGGGAGCCTTGGCAGTGTTGTGCTTTTTATCAGCGGGTTTTATGTCTTTATTATCCACCTCTGCCACGTGGGAAAGGTGACTTTTGTCCTTGGAGTGGCCACGCTGGGAACCAGCCTCTCTGCTCTTCCCTTCTTTCTGTGAATCCTCTTTTCCAGGAGCTTTGTGTCCCAGATCAAGGGGCTGCTCACGACATTTCTGGGTCTGCATCTCCTTCTCAGCACCAGGTCCAGGCTCTCTGCTGCTTTTCTCTGCCACAGCTTCCAGGGGAGGAGGAGGAGGAGGAGGAGGAAGGCCCCCAGTGCCTGCACCCCCCTCTGTCTGCTCTGGGAGGCCACAGGGAGCATCACCCCCATCACCAGGGCCACTTGTTGGGGTCTGAGACACTGATTTGAAGCCACTTCCTTCATTATTCCAGACTCTCTGAGAGCCAGTGGGAAAGTTTTTAATGTTTCTGTTCTCATCTACAAAATCTGTGTCCTCCATCCCCCTGTCCAGCCCAGATCCCACGGGAGGCTGTGCCTCACTCCTGTCTGGGTTGGCCTCCAGAGGAACAGGCCTGGAGGCATTTTTAGCCTTTTTACTGCTTCCATCATAACCCCTCTTTTTAGATCTCTCAGTGACTGGGGCCAGGCTGGCATCTGACACCGCTGGGTGCTCTGGAAGAGGATTTTTACTCCTGCCACCTCCTGCCTCAGGTTTGTCCCTGATCTCCAGGCCAGGAGGAGGGAACATCCCTGCTCCAGCTTTATGCTCCAGCAGGGCAGGCTGCTGTGGGTCAGGCTCCCCGTTTTTGTGTTTCTCTTCACCACCAGTGTGTGACTGCCCTGGCTCCAGGGGCAGAGCAGGAGCCTGCACCTTGGCAGGATCAGGCAGGTGACCCAGCAGTGCTGCTGGAGCCCTGGAGCTCTCACTGCCCTTCTCAGACCGAGTTTGTTGGACATGTCCCACTGCAGGGATGTCACCTGGCCCCAGCTCAGCACTGTGCTCAGCCTTTTTGCCTTTCCCATCTCTGCTTTTACTCTTGGGCTTGTCCATCCCCAGCTCCCTGGTGGGACTGTGCACCCCTGCCCTGTGCTCTTGACATTTATCTGCTTCCTTCCCTTTTTTCCCAGGCCAGGTTTCCTTAGCACTGCCTGTTTCTGGCTCTGAGCTCTCTGTTTCCTGGCCTGGAAGATGTGGCTGCCCAGAGCAGCTCCCCCTGCCACCCTGGATTTGGGGCTCCCCCGCCAGCCTCTCTCTCTGCAGACCAGAGCCTTTCTCCTTCTCCCAGCCCATTCCCTGCCCGCTGTCCCCCCCAGCAGCCAGGCCAGCTGCCTGCCCACAGGGACTCCTCTCGGGCTCCTTCCTTCTCCCATCACTGCTCCTCTTCCTGCCTTTGTCTGCCAGCAGGGGCCCAGCCGAGCCCAGCCCGGCGCTGCCTGCAGCCCCCGTGTCCCTGCCAGCCACAGCCCCCGTGTCCCTGCCAGCCACAGCCCCCGTGTCCCTGCCAGCCACAGCCCCCGTGTCCCTGCCAGCCACAGCCCCCTGCTCTGCGGGGCTCATGGTGGCAGCCACAGCACGACCTTGGGCTTCCTCTCTGCTCTTCTCCAGCGGCAAAGCTCGCTCTAAAGCTCCCAAATTTCCTCTTTCACCTTTCCCAGCGTTTTCTTTCTCTTCCTGCAGTCCCAGCTCAACCGGCCTTTGCATTTTTGCTGCGTTTTCCTGCAAGGCCCCAGCAGGGACACAGCCCCCCTGTCTGCCCTTATCACTGCCCCCCTGCACCTCATCAGCCACCTCAGCACAACTGCCTGCATCCATCCTGTCCCCAGGGACAGGCTGCTGGGAAAAGCTCCTTTCCCCTTTTCTGCTCCTTCCATCGCTGCCTCTCTTTTTGGCTTTGTCTGCAGGACAGGCTGGTGCAGGGCTGGCTGATGGATGATCTCTGGCAGCAACAGCCTGGCCATTTTCAGGATAAATTCCTTCCTTTCCAGCCTCCTCTGTCCTCCCTGCATCCTCTGGCAGCATCAGCTGCTCTGAGCAGCTTTTCATTCTTTTGCCTCTCCCTTCACTGCGCTTCTTTTTAGGTCTGTCCATGCCGTGTGTCCAGCTGGGATCTTTCCCACTCTGCTGCTCAGGAGCAGCAAATCCTTTCCCTCTGTCTGCATCTGGGGAATCTGCTGCCACCCCCCTGGCCCCTGCCTGGCCAGGGCTGGGGTGTTTGGGATCACCCTCTGCCCCTCTGCCCTGCACAGCTGGAACCTCCCCAGCTTTTGGTGGCACTAAAACAGGAGCTCCAGGAGCATCTCTTGGCATCTTCGGTCCTCCCTCTGTGCCTGCTGGACCTTCTCCAGCTGCCTTTGGCTCTGTAGGGATCTTGTCCTCCAGGTGAGGCTGTTTGAGGGATTCCTTTTCAAGCCCTTGGCTTTTTTCCCCGTTTTTCATGGCTGCTGTTTCCAGGGAAGGCTGATGCACAGATTCACTGGCTCCTTCCTGCCCTGGAGATGGGGTTTTAGATTCCTTATTTTTATGGGAAAGGGGCAATTCTGAAGGTTTGGTCTGTAAGGAAGTTTCTGCTTTCACTGTCAGGTCGGCACCTTTTGCCTCCTTGTCCTCCCTCTTCTCATTTTTCTGGGGGAGATCTCTCTCTGGGGGCTTGGTGGGTCCCTTTGCTGTAGCAGATTCCTCCCCCTTAGTCTTGCCCACCTCTGAGGGAACCTCTTTGCTTTTGCCTTTAGATTCCAGCACCCAGCTGTCACCTCTGCTTCCCTCTGCTCTCATTTCCTCCCTGGCATCCAGCACTCGGGATTTTGGGGCCTGCTGTCCTGGGGCTGCCACAGGGAAGGAGTTTTGCTCATCCAGGATATGAGTCCCAGTCGTTATTTTTACATCTTTTGGCACATCCGGAGCTCTGCTGCCTGTGGGTGTTCTGGGACACGGGGCTGGGTTCTGCCACCCCAGCCCAAAGGGAGCGTTCCTGGAGGCTGCTCCGTTCTCATCCCACATCTCCAGCCCTCTTGGCACCTGGCTCCTCCTTTGTTTCGGTTTCTTTTTCTTTTTCTTCACAACAGCACCTTCCAAATCCCAGTTTTCCTGGGGGGGATCTCTGCAGCTCTCCACAGGCTCCGTGGGGACATTGGTGACCTTTTTGTGAGGAGCCCTAAAGCGAGGGGATGTTCCAAGCTCCAGTGTGGAACAGGGATCTGCTCTGGGCTCAGGACTCTTCTGCTGTGGGAGACCTATGGGCTGCTCCTCTGGCACATCTGTGACAGCCACTGGGGCAGGTTTTGCTCTGCCAAACCCACGGTCCCTGGATTTGGGAGCTTGCCTGACTTGTGCAGTGGGAAGACCTGGAATACAGGAAGCCTGCTCAAACATCAAGGCCACTATTTGCTTGATAAAAGAAATAATAAATCTATGCTCTGAGTGACTGCAGCCCTCTCAAACAGGCCAGAAAGATGGGCAGGAGTGCCCAGCACTGGAACCACAGCCAGGAGGGCTGGGGTAGGTATTTACCCCAACACCTGGGGGATCTGCCCCAAATCCACACTCAGTGCTATTTAAACACAAGTCTGACTCAGGCTCTTGCCCCACCAAAAAGCACCAGTTGTTGTAAAGACATGCCATAGAGCTTTTTAAAAATGCATTAAGGATCCATTTTGTCTCAGCAAGACAAGATCAGAGAGAGCCTTTTTATAACTCTAGCTGGCATCCTTCCAGAGTGGGAAAACAGAAGTTTAGTGGGAAGATGGGAAGAGAGATGGGGGCAGGAGAGCCAAGTTTCCCCAGCAGCCAGCATGGAAGCAGTGGGAGGCAGAGCCTCTGTCCCAAGGTCACCTGCAGTGTCCCTGGGGATCCCTGAGCAGAGCAGCAGTCGTTTGTCACTCAGCCCTGGCCCACAAATCCTCCTCCACACCAAGTGAGAGCAGCACCAGCCCCTCTGGAGGCTGGCTCAGTGGAGCAGGAGAAAAAATCACATCTTCCCTTGGCAATTACACAGCTCCTGTGACTGGGAAGGAGATCCTCACTGGGAATATCCTCAGAAGAATTAACAATCCTTTCCAATAGCAAAATAAGAGCCAGTGCTGATGGCACAGAGATGAGGAGCTCTGCAATCCTCCAGCACAGCTGTGAGCCAGTCCCAGTGATAAAGCACTCAGAGCACACAGGTTTGGGCTTTTGGTTTGAATATGGAGGGAAAAGAGCCTTGGAGAGGGCAGGGATCTGAGGGGAAGGGTGAGCCCAGCACCAGGAGCACTGAGAACCACACAAAGACATTTCTGCTTGCCCAGGTGGCCCCACAGCCAGGAGCAGAAGGGGGAGAGTTCCCAGAGGAGGTTTCCATGAGGAAATGGAATTATTGTCTATTATGATTTATATCCTACCTGGGGGCTCCTGCAGGGGTTTCCCCTCCTGAGGTTCTGTGTGTTGGATGTGGTTGTGCTCAGCCTCCTCCTCCTTTTGTGTCTCACCATTCTCGGCAGGAGCAGATTTTTCTGGAAGGTCTTTATTTTCTAGTGCTCCTTTGGCTTCAGCTGCAACATGAAAGACAGGAACAGAAAGCTTCAGGTCTCAGGAGTACAGGCAGCCTGCAGCTACAGGGGTCAATCCTGTGTTTAACAGGAGGGAGTTTATGAGACAAGGCTGGTTCACCTCCTCACAATCCCATCTCAGCAGCACTTCCATATTTTGCACATGCCAGTGTGGGGGGTAGAAAATGAAGCAGGGGCTGTTTCAGGGCTTAAGCACAGGGTGAGGGTTTGTTTGGGTTTTTTTCCTCTTTGTAATCAACCCAATTCAGACTATCCCAGCTTCCCACTGGGGAATTCAAATCCAGAATGAACTCCATTACCAGCCTGGAGTCCCTGGCTAATGCTGATCATCTTGTATTCATCTATACCTTACAATACATCCACACAGCCACCACAACAGTCCTCACTCTGCATAATTACAGCCAGTTTTCATTTGCAAGCCATAATTACATGGGAGAGCAGTTCTCTCTGTAATTAATTTTATTTAAATTTTAAATAGAACGGGAAACCATGACAGACATTGGTACAACAACTGAGCACGAGGAAGGAAAGGACAAAGTTCTGTGCATGGCAGCACACCCTGAAAAGCTGCTGGAGGTGGCAGTGGCAGTGTGGGGCACAGCCTGCATTTCTCACCTGCTGGCTCCTGGTGGGAGCTGCTTTTCCCTGCAAGTTTCTCATCTGGGGGGCTTGGAGGGGGTTTCCTGTCCTGTTCCTTCACCTTCTCTGAGTGATCCACACAAACTTCTGGCACTTTGGATTCTGCTTCCACTTCTGCTGCTGCTGCTTCTGCAAATGGAATGTAAAAAAAAAAATCCTATTTTTAAATTTAGATCAGATTAAATAAGATAAAAAAAAATCACTCCCTCGCCTGACTTTTTATCTTCTGCAAGGAACTGAAGGGTTTCCTCCCTTTCAAACCCTGATTTTTAGGCTCTTTTTACCTTCCTGCACTGTCTTGCACATCCTCCTTCATTCACCCACCTGGGCCTCTCAGTCACTACATTCTGGGGTTTTTTTTTGTTAAAACTTCTCTCTTGAAATTTATCCTCATCATTAAACTAAAGAGCATTAGAAGACAAGAAAAAAATACCTCACTCCAACCCCATCCACAACCAATCCACATATGCTCTGCCCAGGACTATGTGCTGCATTTTTAGTAATATAAATACAAAATAAATACAATTTTGGAGAGCAGCTTTGTCTCCAGAGGGACGGTGTCCCTGCAGAAATCCACACAGCACAGCAAACCTGCACATGGAAATGCAAACACCCCTCCCAGCACTTCAACACCTACAGTCGGCCCAAGGAAAGGTCCCAAAATCATCAAAAGCCTTTCAGTCTCTTCAGAAATCGTTTCCAAGAACCTCTGTTTGTGAGCTCTGTGTCCCCCAGGATTTGGGAGGTTTTGGTGAGAGCTGAGGGTGACCCAACACCTCTCCATGGCTGTCCTTAGATCACTCAGCACTGCTAAGAATGCCCAGTGAAAATTTAAAAACCCTTAAAACCCCCTGGTTTTATGTTTTACAAGTGAAGAATCCCCATGAAGTATTTCCAGTGTATCCTGAGAGCAGAGCTGAGCTCTCCTCAAGGTGTTTCACCCAAAGCCAATCAGTGCTGGGTGACCTCAGAGGCCTTTTCCACCCTCAATTACCTGTGTGGGACTCGGGGATTTGGGCACTCTCACCTGCAGGACACTTGTCTTGCTGAAGGGAAGTCTCAGGTGACACAGCAACCCTGGGGGCAGCTGCAGGGCCAGGCTGAGCTTCCAGTGCCCCCTCCCCAGCACCCAGAGCAGGGCCAGGCTCAGAATCCAGGGCAGGGTGATGGTTGACTTCTGCTGCTGGGCCAAACTCAGAGTCCAGGACGAGCTGAGCTTTGTTATCTGCTGCTGGGGCAAACCCCAAATCCAAGGCATGGTGAGGTTCTGCATCTTCTGCTGGGGCAAATCCCAAATCCACGTTCTGGTGGGATTCCACATCTGCTGCTGGGGCAAA